CCCACACACACACACACACACCAAAAAAAAAAAAAAAACAACCCACCCCCACAAACGAATCCTCAGGAAGGATTTCTGAAATTTACATTTTTGTTTCTCATTATACTTCTATGAATTAGTTAACAATTTCTCACATGCACAAAATGTGCACTTTCCCACTTGAAAGATGAATTTAAATGCATGAACCTATTGAAGCCCAACTCTCTCTTTTGTGTCTGTGTGTGCGGGTGTTGTTGTAGGGTGGTTTTCTTTTGGTGGGGTGGGGTGTTGTTGGGGAGATGGGGGCTGTCTCAGACTATTCAAGCAGAGAGCATAGATTCTAACTGTGGTTTCGGTTTTTTTTCATATATACCCCTCAAATCAATTGCAAATTTACCCTCAATCTTGAATTTTGCAAATTTATCCCTCAATTCCCTTCACATTGGATATTTATACCCCTCATTTATTATGTTAGGGAATATACTTAGTATATTCCTTGAAGTTATGTTAGTAGGAGAAATTAGTTTTTTTTTTTTGATAGAAAGAGAGGCAGCACTCTGGGAAATATATAAATAAAACCTACTTTGCCACCCGGCGAGGTGTAGCAAAACCCCTCACATCATCCGAAATACAAAAATGCACCCAATCGGGTGGAACCTTAAGAACATGAACACCAATGGGAAAAGAAAAAGCAAAAGACGCTAAGCGATCCGCAATAACGTTCGCTTCACGAAAAATATGTCGGAACTGGATTTCCCAATCCCTACGCAGGAAGCCTTGCGCTAGAGAGACGAGGCTGAATAAGGGGTGACAATGCTCCATAGGTTTGCTAAGTAACAGAACCGCCAATTGCGAGTCTGTTTCCAGGCAAACCCTCCTGTATCCCCTGTCCCAAGCAAGCCTGAGACCCGACACAATGCCCCACAATTCCGCCAAAGGAACCGAGCAAAGTCCGATGTTGTGGACAAAACCCACAAGCCACTTGCCATCTGAGCCCCGAATGATACCTCCTGAAGCGGCCAGACCATCCCGACCGAACCATCCGTATTCAACTTGACCCACTGTTTAGGAGGCCGGGTCCAGTTGACAAGGATCTCATCCACACTCCTCATGTTCGTAACACGATCCAAAACAGACGCCTCCTTATATTCCTTGACAATGCCAAGAACAAAATCCGCTTTATCTCCCATGAATCTCTCCTTCCTAAAAACCCAAGAATTGCGCCACTTCCAGATATTCCACAAGGCGACTGCAAAAATGCTTGCCCAAGCTTTATCCTTAACACTAGGCCCAGAGTGTAAAAGATTAAGCCTCAGCCACTGAGCATAGTTAGACCCATAAAACTCAGTCCACGAGAAAGGAGGCTTCAGCTTGGTCCAAATATCAGTAACAACACCACAGTCCCTGAACAGATGAAGGGCCAATTCAGGCTCTGAAGAACAGCAGGGGCAAGCATCATCCTCAGTAAGGTGTCTGCGCCATCTCTCGGCGTTCGTCAGGACGCCACCCCGGACCACCAGCCAGGCGAAAGTTCTCACCCGTTCTTGAGCCTTAATTTTCCAGATAACTCTGAACACTGGAGAATCAATTTCCACGAACGAACTCCGATTATGCACCAGCTTGTAGGCCGTAGAAACCGAGTAACCCCCATCCTTCGATTCACCCGATCGAATAATATCCTGGCTGTTCTCCTCTTCAACCACGACCGTAGCGGCTAATTTGAGAAAAATCCTAGATGGTAGCATAGAGCTAAGAACATCCCACTTCCAACCTATACCTGTGTTCCAAAAGTGGCTCACAGTGGCGTCTAAAAACTCCGGACTGATCACTCCCAAGGCCTCCTTTTCCAAACTGACATTGAGGAGCTATTTATCTCTCCAGAACCGGATCAGTTCGCCATCACCTAGCTGCCAAGACGAGCCTTTCACAACAACTTTCTTAACAGCCTTATTAATACTTCTCCATGCCGACGAAGGATGATTATGCACAAACAAAGAAGGGCGAATGTATTTAGCTCTCAGAACTTGCACCAAAAAACAGTCATTATCATTAAGAAATTTCCAAGCTAATTTACCTGTCAAGGCAAGGTTGAGCTCGCGCATACACTTCAGCCCAAAACCTCCCCGGTCTTTGGGTTTTGTAATTTCCTCCCAATGAACCAAGTGCATCTTCCTGTTTTCTCCCTACGAACCCCAAACGAAGGAGCGAGTGATTTGATCAATTTTATCGCAAACCGACCCCGGGAGATCAATGGAGGCCATTGTGTACACCGGAAGTGAAGTGATGACGGATTTGGCGAGTGTGATTCGTCCTGCAAGACTGAGGTTCTTACTCCGCCATCCGGACAGCTTGTTATTGATCTTTTGCAACAAGGGATCGAAAGTATGCTTATCAATCTTTTTGTGAAGTAATGGCATACCAAGGTAAACCCCCAAATCAGAAGTCACTGAGAAACCGCTCTCCCACTGAATTCTTTGAGCCAAATCAGTCTCAACATTTGGCGATATGAAGATCTTGGACTTGAGGGGATTAATTTTTTGTCCTGAGGACCTACAAAAGCGGTCAAGGCATTCCTTGACGACACGAACTTGAGCAACCGAGGCCTCCGCCATGAGAAGGATGTCATCCGCGAAAAGAATATGTGAAAGGGGAGGACCACCACGAGAGATACGAATGGGCTTCCAGGTTCTTTCATCAACGGCCTTAATAATCATATGACTAAGTCTTTCCATGCAAAGAACAAAAAGATAAGGCGAGATCGAATCTCCTTGCCTAATCCCCCTCGTAGGCCTAATCAAACCTGTTCTTTCGCCATTCCATAAGACGTTCATGGTAGCCGACGATGTACACTCCATAATCCACTCGATCCATCTATCGGGAAAGCCCACATCATGGAGTGTATCGACAATGAAATCCCACCTTAAGCGATCGTAGGCCTTCTCCAAGTCGATTTTAATGATCATCCAACCCGACTTGCCCTCTTTAAATCTCATGGAATGAACGACCTCTTGGGCAAGGACAATATTGTCCATAATAAGGCGGCCCGGAAGGAAACTACCTTGCATAGGACCAATAAGATCACGAAGAATCCCTTGCATACGATTTACAAGAATTTTTGTGATGATCTTGTAAGAAACGTTGCAAAGGCTAATCGGACGAAAAAGACCGACTCTATCCGGGTTGCTCACCTTAGGAAGAAGCGAAATCAGCGTATTATTAAGCCCAGCGGGAAGCTTACCACAATCAAAGAAATCCCTGACCGCAGTACTGACAGAGGCTCCGACGGTCTTCCAACATTTATGGTAGAAAACCGGTTGGAACCCGTCTGGCCCCGGGGCCTTAAGACCTCACATTTGTTTGATGGCTTGATAAATATCCTCCTCCAAGAAAACATTCTGCAACTCGGACCAGGCAGCAGAAGGCAACTATGGGAACAGTCCGTGAGGTGTGGCAATAGGATACATTTCTTGAATAGGAACCCGGTAAAGATTCCTGAAAAAATCAACCACCATAGCCTCGAGATCACCTTCATTCGTAATCAGCGCACCTCCATCATTCAGCAGCGCACGAACCCTGTTATGTTTTCTCCGGATAACCGTGGAAGCATGGAAAAACGCCGTATTTCTATCCCCAGAATTCAGCCATGATTCTCTGGATTTTTGAAACCATAGGAGTTCCTCACGTTCAAGCACAGTTTGGAGTTCCCCTTTTTACTGCTCCTCCCTTGCTATTAGTTCAGACGTAGGCCCTTTCTTAATCTCCATTTGTGTCTTATCAAGTTCAGCAAGAAGCAAAGTCTTCTTCTCATGTATATTGCCGAAGCATTTCCTATTCCAGTCCAGCAGTTTGTCCTTCAGTGCAGCCAAGGCAATATTAGCAGGACAGTCCCTCTTCCAATTCTGGTGAATAAATTCCAAGAAGTCGGGATGAGTAAGCCATGCAATTTCAAAACGGAAAGGCCGACGACTTTTATCGTAGCGGCATTTAGGCTCAAGGCTAAGCAAAAGTGGCGTATGATCCGAACCAAACTTAGGAAGATGGCGGACACTCGCGTTCGGCCATTTGATGCAAACTTCGAGATTCATAAGGAAACGGTCGAGTCTTTTGGAGATAAGAGTGCTCGGGGTAAGCCCTCGGGACCACGTGAAACTTTGTCCCGCAAAGCCCATGTCGATGAGGCCATTGTTTGAGATCAACTCTCGAAATTTCGAGGAATCTGGATGAAGGACTCCTGAGCCTCCTTGTCTTTCTTCCAATCCCACAATACAATTGAAGTCACCTCCCACAAGAACCGGACCCCTACAGCAGCCGATCTCGTTAGACAGTGCAGCCCAAAATTTACGTCGTCTATGGACAGTCGGCGGAGCGTAAGTAACAATGAGTTGAAACTGAAAGTCACCTTTACTAACCGCAGCACTAATGAAATGGGTATTCTTATGACGAACCCTTACATCGATCTCATCGGGGTTCCAAACAAGCCAAATACCACCCTTGAACCCTTGGGCCTCAACCCTATCGCTTGCTCCTAATCTCAGCCTATCACAGATCTTCTGGGCCTTCTCCCCCAAAATGTGAGTCTCAATCAACGCGATAACGTCAATACGGTGACAACGAATCATGTAATTCACAGTGTTAATGAAACCAGATTTACCCGCCCCACGATAATTCTATACAATACAATTCATAATGGAAACAAAGGAGATTTCGAAACAACAAAACCCATTACAGGTTCTGGCTCGAGCTACTGAGCTCGACCCCCTCGATCTTATCATCTTCTTGGCTACCAAAAACATTCCCAGGCTCGACATTTCTGATTGCAACATCAGCAGTCTCTAAGGAAATGGGTGGAGAAGAGGCAACCTCAATATTGGGCCCAAATATTTCGCCACAATTAGGCCCAAGCCTGTTGGCTGGATTGAGTGAATGGGAAGCAATATCTTCCAGAGTTTGGTCCCTTCTAAGCAGAACATAGTTAGGTTGCTCATAAATTTCCCTAGGCCTTTTGGATGGGCATAATTTTAAGCTCTCACTTGGGCTTGCAATTTAAAATGGATGGGCCCAATTTTAAGCTCATAATTTTCTGCTAGCCATTTTTCTACTTCTATTATTACCCATCAAGGCTTTTGACGTATCCCCATAGTTTCTATTAAAACCACTGCCTTCTGACAAATACGGCTCTGCAGAAACTATGGCCTTCCCTTTGTCTCTCTTTTCTTTCTCTGCTCCCTTGTTTTCCTCTTTCGGAGTATCATTGTTGTGCCCGAAATTTCTTCCTACTTCTTGATTTTCCTTCTTAGAGTATGAATCCAAACGTTCCCCTGAACCCTCTTCCGCCTGCAGGTTCCCCAAGGCTCTAAACCCACCAGATCTCGAGGGATTTTTCAATGGTCCGGATCCCTGCTTGAGTTTAGGGTTAGGGTTAGGGTTTACCCGCTCAGCATGCCTTACCGACCGCCGCCTGGGTTTTGGCAACATCTAACCGCCAAATTTCTCTTCGCCCGCCGGAGTTCTCCTATTCGGATCGATACGTTGATCTTTGCACGCCTCCGCCTCCTTTTGTTTCTTTTCAATGTTCGATGGCAGGGTAGGGCAATTTGGTTGGAAGTGTCCGTACCGACCACAATGGAAGCAGATGGAATGCAGGTTCTCATCCTCCACTAAATATCGGTTTCCATTGATGAAAACCGAACCCTTCAGCGGTTTCGTCAAATCCATCTCGACACAAACCCTTGCATACCTACCTCTATTAGCATGTAAGGTTTTCTTGTCCACTTTGATCGGCCTCCCCATCCCGGCGGCAACTTGTAACAGGACTCCTTCCTCGTATAAGAAAACAGGAAGATTTGAAATTCGCACCCAGGCCGGAGTGGTCGCAACGACGTCCGTAAGAGGGTCGAAAGTTGGCGTCCATGGTTTAAGGATCAGATAATGTCCAAACATTGACCATGGACCCCCAGTGAGAACTCTCATATAATCATCTGCACTAGCGAATTTAACCATGTAGTAAGCATTCGGGAAATCAATGAGTCTGAAGTGCCCCTTTGGTTTCCAAAGTTCCTTCACCTTTCTAGCCATGACATTGAACGGAATCAGAGTCCCAAGGGTTTTGACCACCATTGTAGAGGTCCAGACCGATGCTAGCGTCTCCAACACCTCTGTTTCAATCGTCACTCTTGGATCACCATCTGCACCCTCAGGAAAAGTGACTTTGATTTTACCATCAAGAAACCCATCTGGCAAACTAGCTCTCACCTCCTCTTCAGTTTCCACACATTCTTCCTCTTTCTTCTCAACAGCTTCAATGGTAACTTGCTTGCTGGTGACCAGATCTTTCCAAAGCTTAGTTGCTGCCAAGGGTTGTTCCAGTCGATTTACCTGGTCCACCCCTTCAGCAGCAGTAGGCACTTCATCCATGGTCACGTCATTCGTCTTCGGGTCATCCTTCTGAGTTGAATCATTCGGTCCTGGTGGCTGGTCGGGATTCACCACATCCGTCGTAATGTCCATCATGTTCGCGGCGGATTACTTCTATTCCTATATTAAATATTAAACGTGAGTTTGTGTGAGAGGAACACGCGGGTTAATTAAGTTAAAACAAAATTAATTAAAAAGAAATAATTAGTGATATTTAAAAATCAAAATAAATACGGGATAATTATCTACAAATAAAAAGTACATGTTATGCTAATACAACAGTTGATACGAAATAGTCGAAATATACACATATTATACAATTAAACGAGAATAGTTAATAATAAAAATATTTTTACTTATATTTAAAATCAAATAATTATGGGATAATTATATACATAGTAAAACGTATCAGTTATACTAACAAGACAGATAATATATAACAATAGAAATAATACAGCAAATTGTACAATTAAAACATAATTAATAATATAACGTATTATACGTAATAATACCTAATAAATAATAATAATACAACATATTATTTAAAATAATATGTAATAGTATCAAAAACATAACGGATAATCTAGAAATTTAATACTTCACTAAATAAATTTATAATTATCAAAATTATTTAAATAAATATAAAACTTGATTTTTTTAAATCATAGAAAATTCTAGAAAATCGTGAAAAATACAAATACTCTTAAAAATAATAATTAAATATTTTAAAATACCAAAAAAATTATTTTAACTAGTATCAAAATTCACGATCCTTACATTCTACCCCCTTAAAACAAATTCCGCCCTCGGAATTTAAAATAAGATATGCACGATATCATATAGTAATTTTTTAAAGCAAGATAATACATATAATAACTGATAATAGGAAGTAAAAACATGTCAATAATAGACGTAGATAAAAGACATAAAAATATATGCAACAATCATGTAATTATGTATTCATAATATTTACACAACGAACACAATATCAAAATACACCAATAACCATTATATCATTATACCCATTAGAATAACCAAATATGATATAAAAACTATAAAACCAACATACATAAAGAATAAACATAATACAACATATGAACTGCCATGTAATAATATCCAAAACAATAATCAATTATGGACATAATCAGTTAACTAAAATAGTATTACAGAGACTTGTGTATATAAAAAATTAATAAATACATCAATTGAAATAATTAATGAATAGGTAATAAAATACAGCATTAAAGTAAAATATACACAACCTAACAAAAGAAAAACAACTAATAACTACAACAAAATATCTACAATGTGGAAAATCTATAACTAAGTTGTATAAACTTATAACACTCATTTCACATACTAAAATAAACTATGAAACTACTAACTAAGTTGTATAAACTTATAACACTCATTTCACATACTAAAATAAACTATGAAACTACTGATGAAACGTAAAAGAAATAACTATGTTTTCACATACTAAAATAAACTATGAAACTACTGATGAAACGTAAAAGAAATAACTATGTTAACCAATAAATAATATAACACAATAACACAAATAACTAATAAATTAACAAAATTAGAGACAACATAAAAAGACATACAAGAAAAACATATAACTTGATAATAATTAAACTGTAATGATAACAAAACGTAAACATGAAAAGTAAAATGTGACCAAAATTATGTGGTAATATACACAACAAACATGTATAAATACATGTACATATACAATACATAGAATTAATAAAATAAATACAATACAAAATAAAAATAACTACACTATAACATGACCACAAACAAAAATAAAAACATAATAAATACTGAATCACATTAAGTATAGCAATAAACAAATTGAGATGTGAAAGAAATATGAGTAAGAATACACTGCATAAAATATAAGACACACAAACTACAAAATATTACGACTAAATACGTAACCAAAATACAATATGTAAAATACAAAAATCAAATCTAAACAAACACACACAACCTTTAATAACCCTATACACAAACTATAAAGCCATAACATCACACACTCACATCGAAAATAACAACACCTATTCAAAGAAAATCATAAGAATAAAATGATATTAATATAATATGATCTACGAAAAATATAAAAATAAGAGAAACTAAACAGAAGAGTAACACGACGTAAAATAACACAAGTCAAAATAATAAAAAAATACCAATCTGACAAAAAAAACATAAATGAAGGACTCAATGCATTCAAATAAGTAACGAATAAATTGACAGTATAAAACTCAAAATAAATTAACACGACTCAATGCATTCAAATAAGTAACGAATAAATTGACAGTATAAAACTCAAAATAAATTAACACATACAAAAATCGTAGAATACACTTAAGTAACGAATAAATTGACAGTATAAAACTCAAAATAAATTAACACATACAAAAATCGTAGAATACACTAAAACATAAATGATTACTAACAATACTGACACTCACAAACATACTGCTAGATAAGGACGTATAATGTATAAAAACATAACTACGAAATGTAAAATGGGTATATAAGCAAATGAATTATAATAAGAGCAAAATTTCGTATAATAAAAACACTGATATATTTTAGATAAATATACCATGAATGATTGATGAACAAGCTAATATAAACATTAGTAATACATGAAACAGAACACCATCAGGCAAGGTTGATAAATGACCATATAAAATATACGTCGTAAATATAATAATTTATGGAAACACACTACAATAAAAGAGAAATAGTAAGTATAAAGAATGAAAAGTAAAACACAACATAAGTAAACATAAATAATGAATAGAAAATAACAACAAACAATGACACATAAGAACATAAAAATCTAAAAATACTATAAAATAATATTGAAAAATAATATGTGTATACAATGAATATTGTCGATATAATAAAATATTACATATCAAAAATAAAGCAACAACAACAAATACGCATACGTACTATAAACAACCATGAGTAATTACTATACATACTTAAAAACGCTATTTAGAATTATCTCTTATATTAATTATAAAAGGATAATAATTTAATGATACGAGATAATGTAACAAAAATAGATAATTAATAACTCAACGCTAACTTAACAATATAAATAATGTCTGAATATCAAAATAGAAATATATGGCTCTTAGAAATAACGAAACTAATGTAAACTTACTAAAACAATCTAAAC